TTTTCCCTACCGTTACACTTGTAAATTATTTGAATTTGCTTCATTCAAATATAAAGAATAAAGGTAAACGACGTCTAGACTGGCAAGAATTCCTTAACGAAACATGCCGTAGAGTGGATGCCGTCGTATTGTATCTTAACTTCGACCGTATGTATACATGTTTAAAATTTGTGTTAGGTTTTTGAAAATAAAGAAAAGGCGCCTGTTTCGAGATCAGACATCTGTTGATCAAGCAGAAGTCGAACGGAATCAAACTCTTGTCACCCTAACACATCACTGAAAACCCATAGAAAGGATCGTAATCAAATATTCCTCACACTGTATCAAATATGGCGGGTTTCTTATTATATTACAAGCTTGAAGGTATTTCGGGTACCAACATGAATTTTCTTAACTTATACCACAAGAGACTGCGCTTCCCTTGAATGCCACTTCCGATTAATTACAAATATGTTTTGCTCTTGGAAATATTCCTGGGCCGTATTCATGAAACCGTTCTCATGCTCCAGCATTTTTCTCTCAGGCCGACTCTCTTGTAACCTGCTGAAGCCATGTAACAGCTGGTCAAAACGTCAAATGTAAACACTGAAAACAGTTATAAGCTTAAAGTCTTTCAAAATTTCTAACATATAATTGACAAAATATGGATTTGCTATAATCTATCATTTCAACAAGAAACTGGGCTACAGGACTTGAGCACAGGATGTGGGTTTGAGCATGAGAACGTTTCATAAATACGGGCCCTGTTATCAGTTTGCTCTTATTTATCACAGAACATGGCAGTTTCTCCAGTCTCCATCGTTGACCCCGGATGGAAACTGCACTTCACATGCCGACTTAGATGAGAGTCACATACTATGCCAATATTATATATAAAGTATTTTTATTGTTGAATATATGAAAAAAAAAAAAAAAGTCCTGTATTTTGTTATTTTCTTGTTCGTAAATTTAGACGTCAATTTTTAGTCAACAGATGCATTTAAACCTTAATTTGGTTTCGCCTAACATTGTGATGAACGTTTTAGTCACCCATTACTGGCTCTGCTAGAGATATGTCTCACGGGAGTAGGAGATTTTGTAACACAACAATTGGTTTGAAGAATTATATACCGTAATCGCTAGAAAATTGAACGGTTTCCCTTCCCAAAGGTAACATATATAATTCATTCTTGTGACAGAAAACCTCAGTATGTTGGCAACATGTAAAAAGTGAAGGGGAAGATCGTTATGAGCAAACAGGTTTTACCTCCATGGACGTTGTCTTGAGTTTTCATAACAATAGGGTAGATATGGACCAAGATGTTAAAAATATGATAATTTCGATATTTATTAAAAAATAATAACTTGACTCCGGTGAAATTCCTAGTACTGTTTTAATATTGAAATGCAGATTCTAAATGTTTATGATAACATGCAACCTACCTAGATCTATATTAATTTTGTACTTAATCAAGCTTTGCACTGCTTTCAGTTGGCATTCATAGGCAATATGAATGCAAGCTGGACAAAGGCAAAGTCCATGAAGCGCGCAACTAACTTTGGTAAGGCTACATAGTGGTAGTGCCATGAAATGGTAGATATTTACATATCTCATGACGCTCAATGGCATTTTAATACTTATAGTAACATTCTTCATAATGGAGAAAGGTTGTTAATCCCCAGGGTTTCTTTTGGTCAGTGTTACGTCTTGTCTACATTTCTTTCCAAATGACGATACCTCTATTTGTTAGGAGTAAAGACGTATATTTTCTGGCTAATATCTTAACGACAATCGGAAACCACTTCGTGGAATTTCTTTTCACGGTGCCGGAATGTCCTGAATTATTTCCGTTTGGAAAACAGTTACGTGCCTTAGTTCTTGTTTGCATGTAATCATAGCACCATTTATGAGGCGGTGTGTTTGTCTGGCGTGTTTGCAAGGGAAACATAACTATATAGAATTAACAGTCGATGCAGACATTTCCTAATTCCAATATGATAATGCTGGTTTGGTTTGGTTTAGTTTTGTTTAACGCCCTATTAACAGCCAAGGTCATGTAAGGACGTGCCTCCATGTGTGTAGTGTATGCGTGCCTGCGTGTGTGTATGCAGGAGACAGGGTATGTTGGAGCTGTAGTTATCGCAGTAAAAAACTTTTCAGTCGTTTTTCCGTTTTCTTAACTCGCCGCTTTAAGAAAACGCATGCACTTAAGCAACCAGCATACGTAATGTCGGTGTGTAAGGTTGATGATATTATTAGATTAAGTAAAAATAGTAAATAAGTCAGTAAAGCAATTATATCCTAGCCTATATAACTTTGTAAAACAAGACCCCATTTCTGTTCCGCTGTTTCTCTTGCTTTTCCTGGAATCACCATACTCGCTTGAGATGCTGTGGATTTGTGACGTCATGCGTTGTTCGGCTTCTTATGGGACCGTATTTCCAGTAGCTCATCAATAGTACGATACCCCTATGCTACAGCACAGAAATCCATATATAATTGTGTTTAACTCTGGAGTCAAATCAACAAGGGCAATGTGTCAAGGACACAACACCATCCTGATTCAAACATACGATCTTAGTTTTCGTTGTTCATGTTGCTTTTCCTTCTTTCTCGGTGTTTCCAGTACAGATATTTCAGTTATTTATTCCTTTTCGTCTCTAATATATATGAGATTGTTTAATAAATCTCAAAGAAAATAAAACACCAGGGCACCTAGGTGAAAATTTCCATCGCGGATTACACGTGAGTATGAAGTGATTCCATCGCTAATCAGCGTATTTGTTTTTTGAGATAAACCGAGTCTTCAAACGCTTCAGAGACGGCGAATTGTCACAATGTGACGTAGATTAGTTTGAATTACAGAGGGTATGCAAACATTCAAAAGAATCTGAACCGCCGGATACCGACTCGTACTAGCGTTACGATGAAGCTAGTACAACGTGAAGAATTCGAACTACTGGGGTATCTCGCTGACATCCATACATCGTACATTTCGTACCTTCACTGACATAACATTTGTACTGTGAGTATAAAACTGCATTATATTTTGATAGAACTAAAAGGTCTATATTACAGGATTTCTTTTTTCTATGAAAGGCGGAACAAACCTTAAAACATATATATCCAAAAGAATTTTGCAAGCTACATATAGCGTCGGAACGAACTTCCGGAATTGATGACATCACAAAGGGACATGAAAACATGGAGATGCACGCCAACAGATAATGTTTTGATGAACGAGAGAAAAATGAAAGCACTGAAAGAAACAATCAAGACATCAAATGAAAAAATACAAGTCTAGACAGTCACATATTTACATGTTCACTGCAATTCCCTCTATAGACACTACTTAAAGAAAGTGCGTTCATCAGGCTATAAAGCGATAGGACCTGTATCTCGTTCCGTCTAAGATTATGTGAAGCAAACATTTAGGTGACGTTAAGTTGTTCCATAGTTATAATTTAACTAACGATGCAGACACTTAAATGTCGCAAATATTATGGAAGCTTGATATTTAGATCGCTAATAACTACATACACTTATTGCAGATCTACGTAGTGAGCGGGGTATATTTAAACAGTCGTGCTGGTATGATCACCTCGGTACATGTAGCATCCATATTGAGTGTGAAATGGATGTAACCAATTTTTTGTTTATTTTTTATTTAAACATATTTTATTGCCTTTTTTACATAGCAATGGAATTGGGCACAAGTTTTACAACTTATATCAAGCCCTTTCCCTGTACAATAATATTGTTTTAATAAAATTTCATGATGGCAGAACTACGTAAATAAGCCATGTATTATACATTAATTCATCAGTAACATACATACACCCACACATTCACACACCGAATCACAAGTTTATAAAACATAACCCATGTATACACATAATCACCCATGTATACACATAATCACATTAAATATTAGATGACACACATTTTCCCTACATCCTCATTGGTCGGATCGTAACCCAGTCGAGCTCGGTAAATTAGTGATACTTCTTAGAATTAGTAGTTAAATATCCACTTTCATGATGACGTCATTTCACTTGTAACTTCACCATGCTCTCTGCCAAATACAACACTGTGCTCCGTATAGTTGTATACGTTTCCCTTGTTTAATGATTAGAGCATTATTTAGCGTCTAATTTAGCAATTATTAAGTTTTATTTCGGTGAATATGTGGTTATATGGACCTGAGAAAGTAATATTTGCCTCGACTTCAGTCGGTCAATATTACATTCTCATGTTTATATAACCACATATCCATCTGTACGAAAGTCCATAATTGGCAAAACTGGTGATATTTTTGTGGACTTTCCCCTATTCAAATATTCACAAAACCAGTCACGTATATACTGCATGGCTTTATATGTCTCTGGTAAAACATATTATTGAATATACTTATGTCGGATATATCATAAACAGAATCTCAAACTTGTTTGAAATTATCTATCTAACTTTGAAACTGCATTTTAAAAAACAAAATTCTGATGAATTATAAAATATATATAATGGCGTTACACGACATCCAAGAGAACTATCTGTTTCTGAAAATCAAAATATCAGTTAGACTGGTTTAAATGATTATGTAATTTCATATATCTTCGTTCACAAGATATAGCTCCAGTAGATATATAGTACCGTACTGGATAACTGGATCAGCGGCTTATTCCTGATTAGCTACCTATTCAGTGGCTTAAGGGGAAGATCCTCGTGTGTTTACCTGTTTAGACAAAAGTTAAACACTTCACAACAATTATCATTCAGCTATCTACCTCCCGCCCCCTAGTGGCGAACATCCACCAAAAGGTCTGTCTCGATATGGGCGTTATTACGCCAGCCAATCAGAGATTCTGTTTCACGGGATGACGGGTCCGTATCTTTCTGGACACCGAACTATGTTAGTTTGACAGGTAGCTGGTAGAGGATAAAATAAAACGAGCTTCCACTTAGACGTATAAAGGGTACAAATGTTTGGGGAGTTTACTTAGTTTGCTGATCAACAATTTGGCCAAAATGTTACGCTGGACATGTGCTAATAGTCGAAGTTCTCTATACGCTGCAGTTGTTGTTTGTGTCGTAAGAGATTGAATGAGATTTTGTTTATTTGTATACAAAGGAACACACTGGGGACAATTATTGACGATACACAATAGGTGGTTAATTGCGAGTTATTCCACACGAGGCCATTATGCAGCATACACACTTTGAACCAAATGGCTATCAGTCCGGTTTATACAGCGGGTCACCATCTTACGACGGATCCTCCATAAAACTCCACCATGGACACTTCCAGGAAACTCCGGATACCTGTTACAACACTTTCCTCTCTCCGACTTCCTCTCCGGGAAATTATATTTCCCGGGAACCTCCGTCGTACGCGGAGTCAACATTACTTCATGGTGGATTTGTACCAAACGCCAATAGTGCCTACTACAAAATGCCCAGTGGGCGACAAATGGACATTTCCGACTACGGTCTACAACGGAGTTCAGACGGTCTTTTGACCAAATCGGACATTCTTGATAATGGACATCCTAACCATGGGCTGGACCAAATTCATCCCCGATACGACGCATTGGGAGGGGGTTCAAATGTGGTGGGGGGAGGAGAGGCGGAGAGTAGACTTACCGACAGTGGGTTGAACAGTCACCACGAGGAAGTGCAACATATCAAACTAGAGGCGAATCATGAATATAAACAGGACATTCAACCAATACAACAACAGCGTTTGTCTCCAGGAATCGCCGAGCCGGAGGTTCCTCAGGAAACCAAAGACGAAACCTTAAAGGTTGAAAAGGAAATTGAACCGATAGACATTGCCGACCCTTCGAAAGGACACGATGAGAAGGCGCATGGAAATGCTGACGTTAAACCGGCGCTTTCGTATATAGCGCTCATAGCCAAAGCAATTCTAGAGTCAGCACAAAAGCGCCTTAGTCTCGGCTCAATATATTCATGGATAGAGAAAAATTACCCGTATTACTTAAATAGAGGACAGGGTTGGCGCAACAGTGTCAGACATAATCTTTCTTTAAATGACTGTTTCATCAAGGCTGGGCGCTGTGAGGATGGAAAGGGCAACTACTGGGCAATACATCCAGCTAATATCCAGGACTTCATGAGGGGCGATTTCCGGCAAAGAAGGCGCTCCCGCCGTAGGGGGCGAAAGAAGGATTGTGACTTGGGTATGTACCATATGACGAACGGATATGCACCTCTTGCGCCAAGTGTGCCCTTCAGCCCTAATACGACGGCATTCAGTTCGATTTATTCCCCATATACGGACGCTGAGCGCCGAGCATACCGACTAGACGAGGCGCTTTTGCGCCAGAGTATGAACAATCCCTTTATGAAATGGTACCACAATGGTGTGCCAAACACCGGCTACAACTCCCCTCAGAATACAGGGTGTAACTCCACTATGTATCCGAGCTCTCCCTCGACACAATGGCAGGGGTACGGGGACCAAAGCTACCAACTCAACCCCTCTCTCTCTAGGTGAGTATTATATTGTTAAGTGCCCTACGCAAAACCCTTCCCCAGATATAGAGAAAAGTTCAATTTATCCCTCCATAAAGGTGAGTATTAAGTAAAATATACCCCAAACTTTTCCCCATATAGAGAATAATCTAATTCTGCCTTCATCGAAGGTAAATTCTGAGTAGCGTTCTCTAATAGACACCCCACCCTTCCCCACTCCATCCTTTCCTTTCCTTCCAAGTGATGGTACTTATTGTTGTACTTTTTACTTTGGCATTCGGTGTGAGTATCAAGTTGAAGATTTTATTTCCTCTTACAAGCAAAACTATAGACTTAAACCAAAACTAAATTTGTCTCCCTTTTAAGTTCAGAATTTTAAACATGCTCCTCTTACACGTATTTACATTATTCTCAACATCTACAAACCAAATGTACGTATCCTAGTATATAATGTATCTATCTAGTAACACTTGAGTACGGACCGCACGTGCTCTGGGGCATTCGACGAGTACATACAATAAATACTATTTAAAGAATAGACCAACTGTGTAATTTATCATTGATGTCAGTGGAAGTTCATCAGTAAGATATTGTAATCAAACTGTTTGATGCCATAATATTTTTTATTTATGGATTTTTGTTTTTTTTAATATTTGATATTAATTTTTGTAATTAATATGACGCGACGTATTCTTATTTTAGATAAATGATCAAAAACTAGTTTGGAAAATGTGCATATATATATATATAACAAGAGGCAAATTATGTATATTAAATAATACATTTAATACGTATAATACCTGTATTTATTACATTGTAAAACTCCCAAAAACTGTACTGCTTTTGGAATAAACTTAATTGAATAAATTACTTAAAAACGATATCTGTAGTATTTACAGTAGGTTCTTAGATTGTTCTCGTAAATATTTTCAGGAAAGTTTCATTCTTTATGTTAATCGAAAAAAAGGTATCATTTCATCATTTAAGAAATTCAATAATACAAAATACATCTACTGATTGATGAAGTAAATACTTTTAACTCCTGTATATAAGATATACCTATTATCTATCTGATCACCTTTTGGGATGAGACCTTGCGTACCCAGCCCTATTTTAGTCATCACTTCACTCCAGAAATTGACACCTATATCAGTAAGGGGGCGGCCTCTCCTTCTGGACCCAACCCGGGCCAGACTTCTATTATCATAATGACTGACCACTAACACACCCCTGTGGTGGCCGATATCTAGCTATCGATGGTGTAGGTAGGTGTTGTTGACAGTTTAGAAGTATTTATTTGTATAATGATAATATTATTCTCCTCCTTTTATAAATATGATACAATCATATTTTGATACGTTGATTCAACACTTTGGTGTCGCGACTGTTCCCCCTTCAGATTTAACTCTGTCTCATTATATAGTGTTATTGAATCTAAAACAAAAAGGACGCGAAAATTTCACTGGAAACGACAACGATAGGAACAAAAATCACAACACTATTATGAAACTCTCCTTTATAATGTGATATTTCTGTAATAAATAAAAAAAAAATAATGTTATGAAATATATTTAATTTTAAATATTACATATTTTCCTATAAAATGGAATAATTATAATATAATGAAGTATTATAAAATGCAGAAACATAAGTATTAAGCTGTATCGGTATCTGTCTTTGGTTTTATATTCAATGTGAAATTTCTGCTGTAAATCATGTAATGAAAGAAATTTAAAAAAAAATACATCAATCAAGTATTTTGAATATATAATGTAATCAATATTAATAATTAATAACTGATAAAATGTTTTGACCTTATACGTACAATTGTATCTTCAAGAATGGTATCTGATATGATATTGCATATTGCTAAAGGTATATTCCATGTGAATGAAAACATTTTTTTGTGTAAACTTGAACGTACTGTTTGTATTTGAAGCTGGAAAAAGTAGTCTGGTCTTAATGTATCACATTTGGGAATATATACATTCAAATCTATGTTGTATAGACTTCTGGCTATCCTATCATATTATATAATTAAAGTTAAAATGTAAAGAGAAAATCCGGTGTTCAATGATAGCAAGTCATTATATCTTAATCTGATTTTTTTCTGCAGATATTTTGAACGAAATCGTCCAACTAATTTTCACAAATGACATGCTTAAGTTTACACCAATCGCCAAATCTTGCCGCAAAATTCATTGAAATTTGATTGAAATGGAATATGATCAAATATTATTTAAATAAATGAATCATTTGCCTTTTCATGAGGAAAATCAACAAACAGCAAAATAAATTATGAACCTAATTCGTCTGTAATAAAAAGAATCAAATAGCTATTGAGAATTATTGAGATAGTTGTTTAAATATAATGCAGGATATACATATTAATATTTTTAACTTGGATATAAAATGCCTTAGAAGATCTAAAATTATAAATCGAAAACATCAAAAGTGAAGTTCAGACACAGGCTTCAGGAAGATAAAGATATATTAACTTTTGGTTAGTTTGGTTTGTCTGGTATTGTTTGACATATTTTTAAAGCAAATCAAATAAATAAATAAATGCAAGTTAACATTTCAATCAAACACAAGACATACATGCACCTCTTTTTGTTTAAACTACAGAATAAAATATGGTTATTTGATGGAGATAAAATGAAGTATCGTATACAGTGTTTTACTGGATTGAAGTGTAAGATCTTAGGTCTGTCTGTGTTTACGTACATAGTTAAATGATACAGTGTTTTACTTGATTGAAGTGTAAGATCTTAGGTCTGTCTGTGTTTACGTACATAGTTAAATGATACAGTGTTTTACTTGATTGAAGTGTAAGATCTTAGGTCTGTCTGTGTTTACGTACATAGTTAAATGATACAGTGTTTTACTTGATTGAAGTGTAAGATCTTAGGTCTGTCTGTGTTTACGTACATAGTTAAATGACTGAATTATTGAATCAAAATGAAACTAAACTATACTACTACAAGACAAGAAATTATATTTTACCTTTAATATAGAAATCATATAATTTTTTTCTAAAAATAAATAATCGTAAATCTTAAAATAGGTTTAAAACATATATATGTATAATATTACATAAACCTAACCGGTATAAAAGTCGGTATGTTTATGTTTGTGTGTACAATCTCATTGGTCTTGTAAACATACCGGAGTCTAACACCTGTGACCCCGACAATTAATGTACAAACAAAAAATAGTCCCCGACACCTGTTTACCGATAACACGGAGATGTACTTATCCTTTTAATCCACTCAGGTATCAATGATTTCACAGCGATCGTGTTCGTGTATATTCGGTTAAGCCAAGGTTCTCATATTTAAACATTCACAAAACCATTTTGTTTCTCAACCGAACTGTGGGTTTTGTTTCTTTGCCGAACTGTCTACATAGGTCTTGTTTCTTTGCCGAACTGTCTAAATGGGTGTTATTTCTTTGCTGAATTGTCAAGAATGTTTTAAACGACGTTCAATCATATGTTTACGCGTTCCTTCTTTTACCCACCCTCCCTCCACAGTCTTTATTGTTTGAAAAAAGACAAGGGAAGGATACGGAACTCTAGATTTATGGATAAAACCGCAGGAACAAGAACAAATTACAAGGTGTAGAAATTTGGATCGATATTGATATGTAGGCAGAAATATTGAACATTTTAGGGATTGAGATCAGCATTCAGTAAAAGTGCCATTCCACTCCCCATTGGTGGTATATATTCATATACCACCAATGGATATACTGTATATGAGGGAAATAGTTGTTAAATGTATTACACATTGTCAATTCCGCTAATTGTTTCTAAGTAAAAATGAATACCATTGTCTGAATTTCCTTTAACAATATAACAAAACAAAACATAAAACAAGAAGGACTTCTAAACCAGCTTCATCTATTTCTATTTGATTGTATTGCGTATTGATTATCATAGACGTTTGCAAAATTCTGTGTTGATACTGTAAACTGTGTTAAGGGTGTATGCTACAGTGTACCTTACTGTGATATCTATTTCCTTTTCAAAAGACTTGCAAACTAAGAGGAAACCTGCGTTTTTATGTTTAATATATAAGAGCATATACTATATGTGAGCATGCACGTGTATACGTGTATCAAATATATCTTTAGTTTGATCTGCAGGCGGGGATTAGTTTTATCAGATGTAAATTTGCCACTAATCCCGATGTTAGTTTACGATTTCGCGAGGGAGACATTCTTAATTGTCCTTATTGCCTCAGAGTACCCTTGGAAGACTTAAATATTCTCCCTCACGTATTGGAATGTTTGCAAATCTCTTTGATTTGTCTTTCAGGAACTATTCGACAACCACTTTAGTGTAAGCACCAAGGTGCTTCAGCGAAAGGGACGTCCTTGGCCCCTTTTGGAAAGGATTGGGGAACAAGATGGACAGATTACGGGATTAGAGGCGCTTGGCGCTTGGCGCCGTGTATAAATCCCGCAAGCAACGATGTGTTCGTATGCGTTGAAGACCAATCAAGAATGGGGAGAGGAATGTTTCCTGAGATTTCGAATAAGTGTTTGACTTGATATTACCAGTATCTGAAGCATCCATTTAAACGTAAAATGGCAGAGATACCATATTCTCTTATGAGAGTCCGATCCCGCACGACTTCGTATTTATTCACTGACAGTTCGATGTGATCAACTGGTATCGCACGTGTCTGATTTCCAGTCAGATACAACTCACTTTGTCTTATACGAACAATTTCTTTGTGGTCTGAGGAGGGACCTCATAGGCTGTAATATCCAAGAAATCATTGTGGTGAATATTTACTGTCATTGCAATCAATATTAACGATCTCCTCAAAAAAACAATTCATCCTAATGATTCGTACAGTTGAATGCGACCAAACTGTTTTAGAAACGTAGTATTTTAAATTTCATTATTCTATATGCAATTACATTCAATTATCTCAATTTTTTCTTAAATCAGATTCAGACTTTTTCAAGTGTACAACTTAGGTTAGGTAACTCTTTCCTAATTAAAGAAAGTGCTCCAAGTCGTAAAAAACACACTTATAGTCAATTATCATTTATATCATTTTTTTAAGCACAAACTAAACCTTTTTATGTTGTTTAAAGAACTAAAGATTATGGTTAAAATTTGAAGTTGTCTCGATGTCGACTGCTAAGTGTGATATTTAAAAACACCAAACATCAAGTGATATTCAAATTAATGTGTTCATTTTATCATTTTGGGAAAAGGTTATATTTCACCGGCAATAACTGAGAATAGCATACAAAATTGCCTGATT